AAGGGAGATAATGAAGTAATGAAGGAAAGGACGAAGAAGGAAGAGAAAGCGGGTAGAAAAAAAAATATGGTACGTATATATACATAATGGAAGTTATCAGGCTTTTTTCTTTGCATTCTTTCTTATGCTATTACCAATTAACATCGTCGAACGATATTGGAAATGGTTCCAAGATGAGGAGACAAGCAAACAAGACACATACATGTATACATCATCCCTCCTATCGTGTACAACCAAAGTTTCGACTAACGATGGTTATATTGTCGAGCCAATCGATGCGGTCAAGGAGTGTTGTTATTAGTATGTTAGTATGCTAGCGCGTTGGCACATTGATCAAGCGATATATCAATGAGTTGTCTAACTTGGATACACACATTAGCAGCCTACACATACAGACACACGCACACATATGTGTATATAGATATACGTATTTTACATTGGGTCGAATAGTGTGAAAGATTTTTTGTTGATAACAATTATGACATGATTCTATAAGTAAATAAGATTTGAGATAAATAATTTATTTTAATTCATATCTCAATATCTAACTTTCTGTTGAAAACTGAGAAGAAAAAGTATATATTATCTTATACAAGGTGTTTAGATCAGCGATAAATATTATTAATTTGATTATCGTATTCTTTAGGATGTATAATAATATTTGTATTATCAAGTGTTATTATTATCATCATCTGATAATGTGATAACGAAGAATAGGAACACGTAAAATAATAAAGAATTGTTTTTAAATTGTCTTATGATTAATTGTTAATGCATAAATCGGATTTATTTCCATCCAATAAAAAATTGCTTGACGATTAAATATACATGAGAATTCTATTAGAATAAAGTATAAGTATCCAATTAAATTCTTTATGAAAAAGATTTTCGAGAATGAAAGAGAGAGATTATGATTATTGTTACAATGGATTTAGTGAATAGAAATTGTATTTGTCGATGTAAATATTTTATGTGAATAAAATTTATCAAAACATTTTGTAGAGATGTTAATAGTTTTGTTGAATGACATTAACAAAATTAAATGGACGATGAAGAAAAAAAAAACATGAAATAAAATCAACACGAATAGATGAATATATATCTTAGGTAAGACATCACTATACAAAAAGAATAGACCTATGTATAGATATTAATTATTTATTTTTCATCACCTTTATCGTTAAACTATACGAATACGTATAGGACACAAAAAAAAAATGAATATATAATCGTAAAAGATCATGAAAAGTTCGTCACATAAATCAAATTAGTTTTACATGTTGGTATTATTGATCAAATGAAATAAAATCTAAATTTAGAAACTGATGAATGAGCTTGTGTATATAATTATTTCAATTATTCTGACCGTTCATTAGTATTCAAGTAAAAGAAATTAGGATCTTCAGAGCACCCGACCTGTCTGTCAATTATTTCTTTATAACTCATTGTTCTTTGTATAGTAAATTTGAAACAACTACTGACATTAAGACAAACATTGTATTCATTGAGATTATAATATAAAATTGAAAGGAAGTAATTTAAAGAATTATGTTTGTTTAATCTGTATGTCAAAATATGAAAAGGAAGTAAGCTTTAAAATTCATATATATTTGAGTGACATAATAAAAGATGATATATTCTTGATTTCAAAGTCAATTATTATGAGAATAAGATCGACTCTCTATTATTTTATTTATATAGTTGAAAAAATATTTTCATTTGTTCACAATTGTAATATATTTGTACCATTCTTTCTATTCAAACTTACATAACTAAATATTCTTTATTTATTCATTCGAATGTCAGTACCATTTCAATAGAGTAAAAATAGGCGTGTACATACATGTCAATGTTCTCTCGTTTTTTTTCTTCTATCGACAAATAGTGTATCATTAGATAAATAAATTTATAAGAAAATTAATAAAATTCAAGAAATAAATTCGTATGATTGTCTATGATTTTTTCATTGAAATTTATATTTGATAATCATTTGATCGATCACTACAAGGACAATGGCATGATTTCGATCTCGTACGATCACATCGACAATATATCAATCCAAGACATATAAAAAGAACAAATGGAACACCAATAACAATACCAATAATTATATTATTGTTTAAACTTGATATTTCAATTGTTGGATCTAGAATAATATTACAAAAAAGAAAATAAATGTATCATAATAATAATAATTTACTTTCTCGAGAGGAATAAGTCTTATTAATTACAGTTTCAGTTAATGTAAATTCTTGTAAAATGATAGAATCTGTTGTTATATCAGTTTCTGAATTTATCATCGTCGATATAGAATCTATTGGTGTAGTAGTTTCTATTAAAATATCTGCTATAGTATTCATTGTTGTCAATGGTTCTGTAGTATAATCTATTGTAGATTCTGTTGTTATAGTAATGATTGATGTATCACTTGTATGTTCAGATGGAATAAAAGTAGAAGAAATTGATGAAGATTCCATTGAAGTCCATACTTCTGTTTGTATACTGTATGGTGCACACATACTAATGTTATTATTACAATAAGGGCTTTGTATACAAGCACATTGTTCAATCGTAACATCGGTCACATTGTAGAACATATAATAAATGTAAGTATCTGTTTCTTTCTGTCGATTTGTAGGATTTGCATGTATTATTGGTTTTAATGCATATAGATGTTGATCAAAATATATTTCATAATTTTCTTCAATAAATAATTTTTGCATTATTACATGATGATCAACACCAATACCACATAGAACACTATGATTTTTCATATAAATATCACAATTTCTCGTATTAATTAATGCATTCTCAAAACATGCTTCTGATATTTCTGATGTTTGATTACATTCAAGAGGTACTGTTAATATAGGCAAGGATCTTTGTAATGATATAGGATTTGAATATTCTATATTAGAGAATTGACATGTCTCTAAGTTTTGATTACAATTATTTGTCGCACAAATACATAATATCATTTTACGAGCATTTTCATATGACATTGGATTGCATATACTCATACCTATATCTGAACTCTCTGTAAAACCTGAACAATTTCGTGTGATGATGAATCGACGAAATATATTGGTAAACCACATACCATTTTGAATAATAACATCATTCGATACGATTGAATCATTTGCAGGAATATAAACACGTATCGCACATAGTTGAAAATCATTATTTGAACTTTCCATGGAATTTAAATAGCAGACAAGATTTCCGGATGGTTCAATAATTTCAAGTAATGGTAGTGTAAAAAACGAATAAGTATTTTTAGGGATATTGATAAATGCCACAAGACAAAGAATAAAACAAGGACGTATCATATTAATACAAACGAAAGAGTTTCTATGCGAAAGTTATTTTATACAATTGAATGTTTGAAAAAAAAGAGTTTAAATATTTTGATCATACCGGATTGGCATTGTACCTTGGCTTAAATTGAAGTACAAAAAAAAAAGAAAAACTGAATGAACAAAAGAATCTGACATGATTTGTTATATTATTATAAAGTGTCTGAAAGTTTTTTCTATTTTATATACGCTAAAGAAAATAAACCTTTTAAAATCAATTGAAGTAACAAAAAAAGACAGTCGTTCATTTTTTAGACATTCAACATACAAAAAAAAATATACTTTTTTCACTTGCGGGATTCTTTTTTAAAAGTATGAACATTGAAATAAAAAAAGAAATATGATATGACTCATATATTTCGATTTTGATAATCATTTCAGACAAGTATCTACTTGTGGACATGACTCATTACATCAGCAGTAAATGTACGCATTACAGATGACGACTATTTATAATCAATAGGTTAGCCATATGTTAAAAGTCTTTTTTTCTGTAAATGAATCAATTATAGAATAATAAATTTTTATCTTTCATTCGCCAGATGGAACTTTATTATCAAGAATGTACATAAACTATTCTTAAGCATATAGTAATTATTCATTGATGGTAATAAATCTGAATGAAAATTTTTCGAAATTTCTTTATTATTGAAAACAAGGTTATTATAATACTTAATCACACGACGTACAATATTAATGAAGATATATAGTTTTACAACAACGAGAAAAAAAACGGATCTATCTTTGATAGTGTAAATTAAAAAGTAAAAACAAATGTCAACTGAATGAATTGAATTTTTATGTAAAATCAGCTGCATCAATATCCATATTCATATAATCATCACGCATATATGTGTATGGTTCTCTAGAATAAGAAATTTTTTGTACATATTATTCATAATTTCCACGTCTTTGCATTGTTGAACGATTAGTAGTTCGATTATTAATATTAGTTGGTTCATTTTTAAGAAAAGGTTTACTAAATTGTGAGTAACAAACACACACATAAATTTGATTAGTAAAACAAATTTTTTCTTACCTATCAATATCCATATCACCGCCACTATTAATTGAATTCCAATGATTAACATCGGGTGATTCTCGACCATCTAATGGATAACCATCTAGTTAAAATATTTTTATTGTTTAAAAAGAAAATAATTCAATTTATTCTTTTTTTACCGTCATAAGCAAATGGATCAAGATATTCATCTTGATCTCCTCCACCAAATGCCATTGAATCAAAACCATAACCTCCGGCATTATTAACCGGTGATGGTTCATCATCATCCTCATATGATACTTGTTGTCCTTCAATAGCTTCAAGCCATGCTTGATTATGATTACGAAATCGAGCAACTGTAATACGACTTGCCCATTCTGGATCACATTCCTATACGAAAAAATCAGTATTATCTTTTATTCAATTTAATAAATAATACATACACTAATTATTTCAAGTGTCATATCACAAACACGTCGTACTTCTTTATTTTTATCTTGCATAAGATCAATTAAATAAGCTGGTGCATCTATTTTCAGATTTAAAAAATACATACGAATAAGGATAAAAAGAATTTTATTCGTACCTGTTTTTTTAATAATAACATTACGAGTTGATCTATGAAAACACAGTTGATAAAATACATAACATATTTGTAGTACAATTTCATCATCTTCTTGTTGAGCTAGAATAGAAATTTTTTTTCTATTTGAATTATTTTTTAATAGAAAAGAGAGAATCGAGCAAGAATCTTTTTTAATTTTAAAACCTTACCTCTTCTCCTCCTCCTTCGAAGAACTATGATTTTATTACACACAAAAAATTCTCTATCAATAGATATTAAATATAAACTTACCATGTAAAAGTTCAATAAGAATTTGAATAATACCACTTTTAGCAAGTACTTCAGCACATGCATCATCCGCACAAAGTGTCCCAACAAGTACAACAACATTTAATGATAATTCATCATTTGCTGAATCAGGTTTTAATTTCAATTTAATCCAATCAACAAGACCATATTCACTCATTAGAGCTTGATAATCAATATCCGGTATTGTTAAATTAGCTAATGTACCAACAACTTCAGTAAGAAATGCTTCATCATTTTCTGTAACTAATGTTTCACCTAATGGACCAACAAATGCCTTAAATATAAATTTCAAATAATTAAAATAAAGAAAAAAATTTTTTGTCATACGATAAATTGATTTTTAATATCAGGTGAAGCATGTGACGAAATATTTCGTATCATTTTCATAATTAATGAATCTTTATTTTTATAAGCTCGTTTCATAAGTAATTTCAAACCTTTCCCATGTTTATATTCACATAATTGTTCCGCACAACCAGGATTTAATGCTAAATTTATTGCTAATGCAATTATTTCTGGTTCAAGACTATCTTCTTTACAATCAATAATCAATTTCATTAACTAAAAATACACCGAAAAATTTAAGAAAAACAAAAAATATCAGAAAATTACTTGTTGATTGCATTTTGTATATGTAAAATACGCTTTTGTTCGATCATCCATACTTAAATGATATAATAAACATAAACATATTAAACGTTGATTATCATCCTCTATCGATAAGAAAAGAAATTAATTTTTGATTGAATATTAAAGTTGATTTACCGATTAAATCGACGAGTTTTGGTAATAAACCAATACGAACAATTTGTGCACGAATATCACGATCAAATGATAAATTCAATAAAAGACGAAGAATAATATTCAATAAATCAGGTTGAGAAGATGGAACTAATCGAGCTACTTTCATAACCAATTTTTGATCGCGCTAAATAAATAAGACGATATGATATGAACTTATGACATTATCAATCAGATGTTGTCAGTTGATAATAAAAATACTAGTTTTCTTTCCTTACATATTTAAACTATAAAATCTATCTTTTCGGTATGAATGAATGACTTAATATTTCTATAATAAATCTTATGTGACTGTTTATCAATTTATTTTAGACAGAAAAATATATAGTAAAAGTGAAATGAATTTTTAAAAAAAGCCTATTGAAAATAGGTCGAACTACATTCTATATCTGTTAGAAAAGAAAAAACAAACGCACACACACGCACGCACGCACACAAACTAAATCCTGAGAAAGAAAAGTCCTTTGCGCAGGAGAGAGAGAGAGAAAAAAAAATAAATAAAATATCTTATTAATGATTATCAACTAATACAATCATTGCCTAGTATTCCTTCATCATCAATAACATCAAAATAAATTCGAGGAAGTGCACAACCTAATGCAGCTACAAGTGGTTCTCGTTTTAATTGACATATATTTAATAATGTTTTTTCCATAATTGATTGAATAAACATTGTTAAATCTTGTGCAGATTGTTTTTCTAATTGAAAAAATTCTCCTGTTAACATACAATGATTAACTGATGGGTAAAGTTTATGTATTAATTTTATAGTTAATGCTAGATTCATAATAAACATTGATAATAATGAACGACGCATAGCTAAACGTGTTTGTAATGATGATGATTGAATAAAACTATCATCTGTTTGTGTATGAACATCAAATGTACAAATATTATTATCGTATGATGCTGTTCGTCTATTTGACCAGCCACGATAAATATAGTGTGGTTTATTTGATAGAGAATAATCATCAGGAAAATATTGATGGGATAAACGAGTAAAACTTGTTACTGGTATTTGTGATGGATTAGATGATGATGAACGATGACATTTCTTACATAGATCTTGACGAGTAACATCAAATGATGTTGGTGGTGATGCTCGTCGAAAAGTAAATGGTGATGATAAATAAGTTGAAGAAGAAGATGGTCTAAATAGAAAAATATGTTAAATGATATTTGTATAATAAATAAGAGGATAATTTAACATTTACGAAAAGTATTATTCTATCTGTAATGGAAGTTAAGTATGCTTCAAATTTGGAGTTTACGGATGTCTAAGTTTTTGCGAAAAAATCTACCTGAAAACTGTTTTTAATTGTTCTAATAGATACTGTGCTGAGTCGACTGATGATGCTCAAGAAAAAAAGCGCATGGTTACAAGCTACAAATTGTCGAAAAACTTGATCTAAAAAATAAATATATTTACTTTTGTTCATCATTGTGTGAATCGAAACCAGGATGAAGAAGTTTATTTAAATTTGTATAAGTTTTATAACATAAATTATTTGATGTAACTACTGTGTATTTACTTGATGAATGAACAATATAGAAAAAAGTACTTGCAGCTTCTGCATGAACAAGTATATAAGGATAAAGTTGATATTTTTCTTGTTCAAAAGTATAATTATGATTTAATATTTCAATAAGTTCATCATCTTTAGTAATTATTCGTTGTTGTTTTTGTAGAAAAAATTCTAAACCAATCATATAAGATTCTGCACGACATTGAATAATATCAAAATTAAGATTGATTTTATTTAAACGAGATGAAATTTTTGATTCATATTCATTTGTTTGTTCACCAGTTAAAGCAATATTAAGAACAAATGAAGATGCTAATGATGAATTATAACTTATAAATGATTGTAAACGTATAAGTATAATTTGAAATTCATCATGTGTTAATGTAAATAAACGAAAATTTGCTTCTTGTTCAGTTATTGTTGGTAAATCAATGTTTAATATTGACCAATCATTATGTTCATGATCAAGAACTAATGATATAAGATAACGTTGAAAAACTATTGTAGAATAATTCACATTTTGTGGATAAAGTTCAAGTAAAACAAGATGTACACCAGTTGTAGTTACATTTAATCCAATTGCTGGTACATCACATGGAGATAAGGAATAATTCGTTTGAATTTCATCAATAATTGTTTTATTTGATTCAGATTTTGATTGAAGTGAACCTAACAATACAATGAAAAATTCAGTCAAGTTAACTGTGCCCCAAATTCGGAGTTTACGAATGTCTAAGTTTTCGCGAAAACTGTAATCATCAGTTATAGATACTCTGAACTGTGCTGAGCAGACTGATGATGCTCAGGAAAGAAAAGCACACGGTCACAAGCTACAATTTGTCGAAAAAATTCCTAGATAAGATTGTTTTGTAGAAGACGAAATACAAGGAAACCATACTCTCTTATACGATGGCTTCTAATTGAGATAATTCTGTAAATACTATGGGTTAACGAACTGTATATCTATGTTTTTTTGGACTCATACAGATTCAGTCTCAAGTGTTTTTTTGTGTACATAACTAAACAAAGAATCAAGATTTGTACTATTTAATGGTTACTTATAGAAAAAAAACCCAAAATATAAAACTTTTTGTTTTTTCATATGTTTCTATATACATTGGAGATATTTTTTATAAATGTTCTTGAATAAGTCTTAATTGTGGACCTTCAGAATACGCCATGGGAAATAATGGATTAAGATAATAATGTACATGTCTGAATCTAATGAAACAGATGTATACTAGACAATATTTTGTCGTTAATAAATCTCCGACTAATTAAGAATAGTTATAAAAAAAATTGTCTAAATTTACTTTCTACAATTACATAAATATAATAATCCTTGTTTTATCAATATGTCTGTCCTTTAAATAAAAATAATCAATATTTATTTGAATATATATCTATCTCAAAAAAAAGATTTTTTCATTGTAATTATTATAGAAACAAATAAAAAAATAATTTTTATTCTTGTATGCTTTGATCTGAATTGTTTTCTTATGTCTAGACGTATTTAGTGAGAATAAAAAAATAAGTACTTACTAGTTTCATTTAATTGTGATGGTAGTTCATCAATAATAATCACTTGAGTATCTTGTTCAGCTACTGTTGATATAGATGAATTTGTTCGAGATGAAAATACAGATGAATTTGTTGATGTTGATGATAATAAATCGCCTCCATCCATTGATAAAAAACTTGAATAATGTGAGGAAGATCTGTGATCATCATATTTTTTTGATAATGGTGGTGATTCCATTTCTTCCGTATTTTGTTTATCAGGTTTTCGAATATTATTACCTTTGGATAAAAGTTCAACAAGTTTTGTTACTGTTTCATATGCTTTTATTGGTCTTGTTATTGTTATATTTGATTTACATGCTGATGGACCACGTTTTGGTTTATAAAAATAATCACTATGTTCAGTACGTAGTCTATCAAATGAACGAGGAGATAAAGATCGATGAAAGAACCCCGAATGGGTTCCATGACCATTGTCACCTTCGTCTCC